GATTGGATGGACCTAGTGATGGGACAAGCTGGGGAAGCTCAGATGCCTGTCTTGGTATATTGCTGTGGTGAGCTTGGTCGCTGAGAGCTGGGAAGATAGAATGACTGTTCTCAGCACCAGACATAAGGTTGGGTGAGTAGCACAGCCACCTGAGGAGGGGTATTTCCCTAGGAGATCATGCCTCCAGGTAAAAGGCGTGAGCTGAAGACACATTTGGGGGTCTGAGAGTCATGTGCTCTATCCTGTGCCCCAGCTAAAAGCAGAAAGAAAAGGACCTTCCACCACAGTTCCACCTTTCAAGATAGTGGATTAGTATCACTGGAAAAGCTACTAAAGGCACCGTGTCTGAGCCTGGGAAGGATAGCATCCAGGTAGTGGAGAGTGGTTGAGTCATCCCAATCTCAAGTTCACGGCCCCTGAGAGCCTCAGGCTTCATCTACCCATTCCTATAGAACATGATTGTCTAGCCCCAATAGACTCCTGCCATTCCCCACATTGACCAGATGCTGCCCTCAGCCTTCATAAATGCCATGCCCTTGACTGACTGGCTTTTCTCCCCCAGCCTATCACATCTCATCTCTCAGCCCCAGCCTAACTGAAGAGTAAGCTTGTTGAGTTGAGTTCACCTGAATGAGACCGCTGACAACTGGAGCCTGGGACATAGGTGGGGGGTGTCCAGGGTTACACAAGGTGACTATGGGGCCTGAAGCACCAGTTACAATGTGACGCAGCTCAGGACTGTGAAGGAGGAAGAGTCAAAGGCAGAAAATGGGGAGGGAGTCTCCAGACAGGAATTGGGTTTGGCTGTCATTTTTGGGAAATTCCTTCTGGAAGGACCCTTGGGTGGCCTGTGAACAAGGAAAGGATCTCGAGGTCTAGCTGCTGTTTTTTTGAGGGAGCTCTATCAGGATGGGGTGGGGAGCAGGCACTCTGGTGGTTTCCAAGTTGGGTCAGGGGCCCTGTGCTGGGACTTTCTGTTCCCGGTTCTGGCCCTGACTACCCCATCTAAACCTATGATGACCTTTAGAGCCTAGAGCTTGTGGGGGGGGATCTTGAACCAATGGGGAAGCAAGCAGTGTCCTTAAATCTAAACAAGATGCTATTGGCTCCCTTCACATGGGGAGCTCATCAGTCACTCTCAGTGCTTGAGCTGATCTCCCAAGACATCTATTCACTCATTCTTGCATCACACACGAGTCTGAGGGTCAGGTTAGGCTCGGCTGCCACACATAAGGTCATCCCAATGGACACCAGGCAGAACCTTGGGAGACTTTGGTGTGTTTCTGAAGAGAAAGGGTAGCCACCAAGAGTCCAGACTCCAGAGGGCCCTTGGGTGTCCCTGGCTCTCTCTACCTCTGACCAGATGTGTGACCTGAGGCACGTTGCTGGCTCCTCCCAGGCTTTGTTTTCCTCATTTGTAAACTGGACAGAAGTCTGATTTGGACTCACAACTTTGACACACTAGGAGGGCTCTTGTGAGCTTTCCTAGGACACAAATCACTGAAGCATGGCCACTCTCCTCATGTCTTCTACAGCCCCAATTGGCTTCTAAGAGAGTTTCTATGACAACTCTCGTATGAGCTCTTGTGTCAGAGCCCTGGTTGGTTTTGTTTAATTTTCTAAGATAGCTCCCAGTGACCTCGTCTCTTATCTGATTGCTCCCTGAGCCCACAAACATGCCCAGTCCATTTACCCTCCTAGAATCTACATTCTGTTCAGGCCTTGTTGGTACTCCCTCCCCTAGACTCCTGCCCTCCTCCCCTTCTGGAGGATGACTACTCCTCCCAGCTGCTGGCCGACTGCTTTTTTGTTTTTGGTTTTGTTTTCCTATTTCAAACTTTGGCTTTTTCTTTTCTTTTCAGTATTATTTTCAAACTAAAATCACTTTATTGTAATGAGATTACAAATAAAAGCATCACACGGTTTAAAACAGCCACTCAGATGCTTGCTGTCCCAAACTGTACATCTCAGTGAACTTCTCTATAGTTTGAAGTGAGTCACTCAGAAGCATGGAGCTTTGCTCAGGGTTCTACACTTTTACTATCAATTACACTTTAATGCGCTTATCTACCACAAAAAGAAGAAAAATATGACAGTTGAAATTAGAAAAACAATTAGTTTTATATCCTCTTCCATGAGGATTGACCTCTCTTTCCCCGGTGTTCTTTTCTCTTTATCTTTTCTGTGACCCTGGGCACTGAACTTAGGGCCTCACGCCTGCTAGGCACATGCTCTACCCTGACATAGTTCACCAGGCTGACTTTGAACTTTCAATCTTCCTGACTCAGCCTCTGGGGTAGCAGGATGACAGGCCTGTGCCACAGGCATTGAAAGCTTTGGCATTTTTGTTTTTGTGGTTTGTGTTTCTGGCTCATGGACATCACAGAGCTGGGACCCAGGACACAGAACTGTTTACTCACTGAGCAATCCTCTCAGCTCAGCTCAGTCCAGTCCCTGCTGGGACCACGGGCTCAGGAGTGAATGGTAGCAAGCCTCCTCTCCCAGTCCACTGGGGTAGGCTCCTTCCTTAGCTCTCCAGAGCAATTAATTGCTAGGCCTTGGCTGCAGCTTGAGGGGGAACAACACCATTCTCATGGCTCCCCATGCTTCAACTACCCACACTGATGTAAAGGTTTCCAGTCAGGCTCTGCTCTGCTGCCCCCTCCACAGAACAAGCTTATAAACAAACGGGACCAAGGGGCTATACCTGCCACCCACTGTGAACATAGACAAATAGTCCCTGAAAGGTGGGGGGAAGGGGAGACTGGGCACTGACTGACTACTTGGTACCCATGTTAAGGTCAAGGCTAGCTCACCACCTGGCACTTTCTAGGCCAGTCATGAGTGAAATAACACACATACCCCATCATGTCTGTTCCCCAGTCAGTGGCACCCAGAAAATAATTTGTTTTGTGAGGAGCCAGTGGAGCAGTATACAATACAAGCCAGAGTTTGCCGGTGTGGAGTGAGGAAGAAAGAGAAAGGCCCAGGCAAGTGACGGAGAAGAGGGCCTCAATATTAGGGAGATCGGTGTTCTGCTGATTAGCTACTAGGTGATCTTGGGCCGTCACTTGCCCTCTCTGAGTATCTACTTCCTCACCTATTAAAATAGAGCAAAGTTTCATTGAGTTCTCATATTGTCCATGGGCAGAGCGGGGATTTAAATGTGAGATTGTCCATCAACTCCCCTATCTGTTCCGGGAAGACCTCATTTGAACATGGAAGGCCACAGAGAACAAGCAACAGCAGCCGCACTTCGAGTGAGGAAAGATGAATTGAGAGGTATGCGATCGTGCGCGCACACGCGCGCATATGTGTTGGTTGTGTAGTGGAGGCTAACAGAGGAGGCTTCCTCTAGCTTGGAGGGAGGCCTCCAGGCACACTTCATTAGGAAGTGTTGGAAGTGTCAACTTTCCCAAGGCTCTGTGTGGGCAGGGACTCTCTGAGAAAGGGTTCAGAGGCCTGAGAGTGGTTTCCCTGAACTTCACCATGGGGACAGTGTGGGGATATTAGCTTCCTACCTACATGGACAGGAGAATGCTGCCTGCTGCACATGCAAGTTGGCAGGTTCTCTCTGTGGGAGATACATATGTCTGCCCCAGATGGGACAGCTGGCCCTGGCCTCTCCGAAGACTGTCATCTGCATCCCTTCAATCTGAGCCTGGCCGTAGCCCAGAAGGAAGCTGAGGAAGCACAGCTGGATGTGACTTCTGGTGACTTAATGGGAGGACTTGGGATGGCTTCCTGTTACATGTGTGTCAGGGATCAGTCACAGGACACAGAGCCGAGCGTTTATAGGGAGGGGAGGTGGCTGTAGCACTAAGGGTTCTAATTCTTTCCATGCCACAGCTTTCCAATCCCCCCTCACCACTCATGCTGAGAAGATGAATGGGAATTGTATTAGTCAATGGCCCATGAACCCACTGAAACCAGGTTCAGTGGTGCCCACCTGTGATCCCTGCACACTGGAGGCAGAGGCCAGAGGACGACATGTTGGAGGTGAGCCTGGGCTACAAGCAAAATCCTGTATTACCAAAACAAAAACAAACCCCACTCCCTCAAACCTGACCTCACCCCCACCCCCAATCCTATGAGGTCTCCTGAGAGGAAGCACCCATCCCCACCCTTCCTGGTGTGCCAGGATCCCCAAGCTGTGTCTGTCACACTGCAGAGTCTGTTTGACTGAAGCCTGGGAGCAAGCCTGGCCTTGCCTGAAGGGGTGTGAGGCCCACACTGCAGCTGGCAGGCAGCTGCAGGGAGCCCAAGCCTTACTTACCACAGGACATGGAGCCCAGCCACCCTGTGTAAAGACCCTTTGTTCCCTTGCTGTCACAGGTAGGTCTGTCACTCTGCCCTGTGCACTTGGTGCTTTCATTATGCTTGGTTTCTGGAAGCTTCCAGATGTTTTCCCTCTAGCCTCCTCATACTCCACTGTCATCTACCCAGGTAAGTGTATGTGGGTCTTCTCTCTCCTCTGTGTGGATCCTGTGGACTATACCTAGCATCTGCCCGTCAGTCCCCTCGGTCATCTGTCCCTGTGGTCTGGTGGTTTCTGCCTTTCTGGTTCACACTCACAGTCTCTTGCTTTTCTGTCCCTCTGGATCTTCACCATGGCCACACCCCCAGTCTAGCCCTTAGTTCTGCTGATACCTGTTGGTCCCCGTGTCTCTGTGCACCCACCCTCTCTCTGTGGTTCTCTACCTCACTCATTCATCTCTGCATTGTCTCTCTCCTACTGGGGGATTAGCTTGATGGTGGCTGGGCAGGTCTCAGGTCTCTAGCTCACCAGGGCGGTTTGGCTGGGCTCCCTGCCTACAACTGAATAAATGGCTTCCCTTTCTGCCCCTCTCATTCACTCATGTACTTCCCTGTGTTCCCTAGACCAGTGGCTAGCTCAGTGTAGAGCTGAACCTGTCTCCTCAGCAGAGGCACCCTTTGTGTAGCTGATGAGCAGTCAGGCTCCTTCCTCTCCCTCCCTCCCTCCCTTCACCTGCACTTACCTATTCTAGGCCCCATGGCTGGGGGAATGCAGAGAGTTGTGGCCTCTACTTCAACCTGGAGCTCAGCAAAGAGGAAATGAGCCTGTCAGTCGCCTCCTGGAGATAACCTCCCAGAGCAGCAGCAGGAAACATCTACACAGGACTGTCCCTCACTAGGCTAGTTCTTTGACCACACCGGACAGCAGCTGCCCTCAAGGCAGAGGTGTTAGAGACCCAGCTCACTCTGAGCCCTTCTTGAGAGTGCTGGGCACTTGTTCCTTTGGCTCTCAGCCCTGACCCTTGCTGTGTCTGCTTCTTTAGCTCCATGAATTCTTCTGATCTCTGGCTTGGGACAGCCCAGGGCCAGCCAGAGTTGTAAAGGAGGCGTGCTTATTTAGGTCCAGCCCCCATGCTGGCGGGAAGCTGCTCCCACCCTTAGACTTTGTGTGGGTTACTTCCTAGCTCTTGCCCTTTGGATAGTTCCCTTGTGTTAGCAGCAGAAGCAAGAGAAGCTGTTGATGGCTCTTCTTAAGTCCATTCAGGAGACAAATATTCCAGAACATTCAGTCTCTTTGCTGCAGTCTGAGCCTGCTTTCTTGTGGGGCTGCTGTCTCCCTGTCTCCCTTGCTGTGAAACAAGCCTTTGCTTCCCCACCGAGTCTTGGTCCTCCTTTACTACACTCCTGTCCCCTGTCCCCCTCATCCCTCACTAACAGCTGCCCCTTCCCATCTGCCCCAAGGATTCAGATTAACAAACAACTGCCCCTCCCCCAAGCATCATGGTCCCCCAAAGCTCCATCAGGCATAGCCTGATGGAGGGAAGAAGGAAGTGAGAAAAAAGGAAGCAAGACAGATGGATAAATGTGAAGTTCTTAGAGCTGTCCGGACGAGGAGGCCTTGCAGACAGCTGAAGGAATGGTCCCATCCCAGTGCTGGCCCTAGTCAAGAGACAAGGCGTCACAGGCAAGTCCCTGCACCTCTCTGAATGCCAGTAACCTCATCTGAACAAGACCAAATTTCTCCTTTGCAGGGCTGGCTGACTTGAATAGTGAGGCAATAAATATATAAAGAAGCTAAGCATGAAGGCCAGAGGCTGGAAGGTGTGGCAAGAGGTGGGGCCTTTACCAGGCTGAGGAGACAAAAGTTGGTTTATGTAGCAGAGCCTGCAAGTGAGGCTCCCTAAGGTCCCTTTCATCCAGCAGTCTGGGAGCCCCCCACTTCACAGATGAGTCACAGAATCGCAGTCACTTGCCATAGAGCACCCCACTAGTTGAGGTAGCATGTTCTGGCCCTCCGATGCTAGAACCAGGCTTTATCTCCTTCAACCCAGGCTGTCTTCTCAGGAGAAAATTATCTGCCTAGATTCAAGATATGGAAATGAGCCCAGGGCCATCTCTAGACAAGGACCTTTGCATACAATGGGGATGTGGGCTTAGAGTCTAGCTTCCTCTGCAATGATAGAGAAACTTGCTTTAGTCCTCTTGGCCATAGAGAACAGGGCTATGTGAAATACAGATCTGCCTGGCACCTAGTAGACACTCAGCGAATGTCCAGCACCTTTAGAATGATGGAGTCCCTGAAGGACCAGCCAAGTGAGCACATGGCAGTGTAGGAAGGGCCAGCAGTTGTCTTGGACTGATAGAAAGAGCAGGCTTTGGTCCTGCTTGGGGAGACACATTAGATCTGGGCTCTCAGCCCTTCACTCCACAGTCAGCGCTGAGTCTTCCTAGAGACTGGCAGAGCAGGGAACCCTCTAGATTCCAAGTCATAGGTGCACAATTGCAAGAAGGAAGGTCCCTTTAGACTTCTAGAAACTCTCTTACCACCAGCTTAGCCTCAGAGGTTCTCTATATGGAACCAGAAAATTCCTGAATCCAGGTGTGCTTAACTGGAGAAAAGGTCAGGGACGTACACGAGCTTATGAAGCCTGAGCTAAGAAGCCTTCAGACCAGCTCCTGAACTAATAGTTTGGTAGGATCCATCTACAGGCGCTCCAGACTTCATGATACTGCCTTGCTCCCTGGCTTCGAGTACTTGGGGGCGCTGGTGTTTGCTGCCACCCGTGCTTTTTGCACAGCCGCACTAGGTGTGCAGATCCCAAAACACCATCTGCAGACTCCCATTGTTTGTGAAACTTGATGCCTTTTTTAGCGTCCTCTCCTGCTGTTGGCATGGTTTGCAAAACTCTGTAGCTCCTAGGGTCCTTGACGTTCTCAAAGTCCCGTGGTTCATGCCAAGCCGGATGCTGCTGTAAACCCCGAGCTGTTGGCAGAACCTGAGCCTTTCTCTCTGAGTAGCCCATGTAGAGACAGGTCTTTCTGTAAACCTGACACAACAGGAGACTTCATCTGTGAAACCATCTGCTTCATGGTACACGAGAAGGATGCAGGGAACCAGATTACTGAGCTCTGGTCTGGTCCGAGCTTTGTCACAACCCTGTTCTGGGATGCTGGGCAAATCCTCTACTCCTTAGGACCCAGTCTTACCATCTGTTAAGTAATCAAAGCCTCAACCCACCAGGAAGGTCCTGATGGTCACTGTGACCTTGCTCAGAAGATAAAGAAGGGGAGGAATAGTTAGAGGCGCCCTCCCCCAAAACACCCCAAACTGCACCTTCAGCATCTTCATTCTCACTTCCCTCTGGCCTGCCAGTCAGGGAGCGGATATCTATAAATGAACTGTAGCCTAGCTGGGTGGCAAATGAGGGTCTTCAGTAAGCCTGGGCTTTCCCAGCCTTAGATGCGGCTATATAGACCTGCTCTTTGTGTGGCTCATTAGCCCTGTTCAGGGAAGGACACTGCCACTCAGAAAGGTAACTTACTCAGTCAACCCCCACCACATACACACATACCCTAGTTTCTCTACAGCAGGAGACAGGCTTTGAGTAAGGGCATCAAAGGTAGGTGTGCTGCATCGAGGTCAGTGTTGGAAGGAATAAAGAGCTCATTTAACTCAATGTCCCTTCTTCAGATTGGGAGTGCAGTGAGCCCTGGAGTGACTGTCTACTTCTCCCTGGCCCATAGAGGAGAAACAGCCTCCATCCCGCTAAGAGTCAGGGCCTCCCCTTTTGCTGGCCCGCTCTATCCTGATGAGGTGTCATTTTCAGGACATCATGGTCTGCAGGCCAGCTGGATGAAGGGGGCTCTAGGAGGGTCTGTGCCACGATCCTTCCCTTAACTCAGCCCTGCCCCTGGCACTTCCAATCTGCTCAGCCACTTGTACTTACAGAGGATGCTTAGCTCACCTGAACTCTGCCCCCCACCCCAGCACTGCCTAGACTATGGGAATGTCACTCACTCCAGGTTCTATGTCTCAGCAGACTTCCCCTGGGTCCCACTGCCTCCATGTTGGGCTACAAACCTCATCTTCCTCTGGAAGTGGCAGGCTGGTTTCCCAGAGAGCAGTTTAGTCATCTAATGCATTTTAGGCACTGGATGTTTCAAACCTGACCCAGCAATAATGCTCTGAGGGTCAGTGTCCTTCCTGCAGCAAATAAACAAACAAACAAACAAACAAACCTCCTTGCAGGACCACACAGAGCATCATCATTGTGCTCCATCTCCCTAGAGAGTGGATAGTCTCTCTCTCCAAGAGGCAGAATCCTCTCTCCAGAGAGGCCTTCTCTGGGTGACCTGGAGCCTGTTGATTGACCTCTCTGATCCTGCATGCTCTTGTCTGTGAAATGCCTCTCTAGAGCTATCAAGGCTGGGATGAGTTGATGGATGGATGGATTAGTGCTTGCTAAGTTCTAAGAGCTGAGCAGCCACAGGCTCATTATTGATATGGCAACCATGCTGACTGTAGTGATGACTTGTGACTCTGGAAGCAGAGGAAGGGGAGGAAGTCCATCAGAGCAGGTATACATCATGTCAGCCTGACCTGACTGATGGCCCCAAGGCAATAAATTTCCAGGAAGGAAGCCCTCAACTCCCCAGCCAGATGGAAGGGAGCTCAAGGGCAAACCAGGAACTCAGCAGACTGGCTGGGGCATTGCGGAGCAGTGTCAACAGTGGGAGCTCCGTGGGTGCTTCAGGGGGTCTCTCACAGGACTCCAGCTGGGCACTAGGTAGCCTGGGACCCCAGCTTTCACTCTGCCATCTTTATGCTAGCATTGGTTAGGTCTTGCCCCTGACTGGTTGTCAGTCTCCTTATTATAAAATGGAGAGATTGCTGAAGGGGGTCCCATTCATCTCTGACTTTGGAAGGATGGCATAAACTGATGTGTTCACAAAGAGTCAAGTATGGGGTTACAGTTAGTAATAATTTGTGTCCTTGAGGAGATGACAGATAGGTGCAGCAAAGCTGGAGGGGGCACGAGTGGGAGCTAGAGTGCTGACAGAGTGGGGCAGAGAGGGAACCGGAGAAGGCCAGCAAGGAGGAGTTGGTAGGAAGAGCCTGGCTCCCCCAAAGATTTTTGCAACATTGCCCCCTGGAGGCAGAGAGGAAGTCTTCACCCTGGCCTTTCCTCCCAGATTTCAGAAACAGCAGAAGTGGCCTGTGGAAGGACCAGCATCAGACAAACAAGGATGTTTTGTATGTGTGAGTTCTGGCTTCCCCACTTATCAGCTGTTTTACTTCACTTTCACAGTGGTGAGGTATGCACAAGCTTAAATGCATTCTTTAACTTTTAATTTTCATCTTTCTGAGATAGTCTCATTTTGTATCCCTGGATGACCTAAAATTCACACCCAATCTCCTGTCACAGCCTCCGAGACTGTTTATTTGAAGCAGGGTCTCATATAGCCCAGGCTGGCCTTGGACTCACTATGTAGCTAAGAACTCCTTATCCTCCTAGCTTCTAACTCCTGGGATTATAGGTGTGTGCCACCATGCTCTTCTTATCTTGCCCATTTTTAGGTGGAAAGTTTGGTGGCCCTTAGTACATGTACTATGTGCGAAACTGTCAAGGGGTAATGGTGTCCATCCAACACCATGATTGCTTTCTTCTTTAAAAGCAAGCAGTGATGTCTAGAAGCCCATGGTCATGTTGCTGTATCATTCATTACCAAGCTCTCAAAGGCCATGACAGCTGGGGAACACACCACCAACTTCATGCAGGAAGATGATTCACTTTCTCCCTGATGGCTCATGAGCCTGCAAGTCTGATGGTGGAAGACAAGAATACTAGTGACCTATAGCTGTAGTAGCTTCTGGGCTGTTCACTTAGAGGGCCTGGGTCACATGGCATTTCCAGAAGGGCTGGCCTGGCATTGGAGCCAAGGCTGGGCTAGGCAGGGTACCTGTTTGCTGCTGCCAACACTATGGGTCGAGGGAGGACAGGACCTGGTCCAGTGTTCTCTCCATCACTGTTGTTT